TCAAGCTTCTTTGACTGGAAAGGATACGCTATTAACATCAACGGCGAGTAGATCACTCACCTTCGATTTGCCGACGATATAGTTCTTATGGCAGAATCGCTGAATCGTGTTGCCAGTGATGACCTATGGAACTGAGACGTGGTCCTTCACTGCTGACTGTATGAGGAAGCTCAAGGTCGCTCAGCGAGCTATGGTGATGACTATGCTCGAGGTTTCTCTGCGTGATAAACTTAGAAATGAGGATATCCGCAGTATCTTACGTGATAGAGCCATGCTGCAGCTATATTAGTAATATAGTTGTAGCACGAATGGGTCGGCTCGACCGGGGAAGAACCACGCTCTCACAGAAAACCAGCGTAAAATAGCAGCTTAACGCTGCTGTGTTTCGTATGGTGAGTGTAGAGAACCGGAGACCCTTTTTACTGCCAAAGAGGCATTCCATCTTAGTCCTCACGGATGACAACGCATCTGCATCTTGAGTGTTTATTGAGGATAGATGTAGATGTCTATGGGTCACAGTAGCCACTTACCATCAGGTGGACTGTGTGCTCGTTTGTCACCCTATCCTATAAAAAAAAGAACCAGAGTGACCGACATAGCTCAACGGATTAGTAAGCTGAAGTGGCAATGGGCCGGTCATGTAGCTCGAAGAACCGACAACTGATGGGGCAAAAGGTTCTCGAGTGGCGGCCTCGTACCGGCGGACGACGGGCGTCCCCTCACTAGATGGAGTGAAGACCTGGTAAGACATGCAGGAAGTCGATGGATGCGAGTGGCTCAGGACCGTGCTTTGTGGCATTCCTTGGGGGAGGCCTATGTTCAGCAGTGGACTTGTGAACTGCGCGAGTCAGTCAGAGGTAGCGTTGCCAGGCGTCCGGATAAAGCCAGGCACAGTCAGGCTTTTTGGTTGCGTGTGCGGCCAAATTAGATGGAGTCCAGCCTGTCCGGCTTTTTAAATTTAACCATTTTTTTTTTTACATTAGTCATGTGTTGGTTTCAGCTCCGCCCGCGGTGAGCTTTTATCGATACCGCAAGAAATTTTTATTGATTTCATAAGAATTAGTAATTTAATTGAGAAGTTGGTTTTTAATTAAAGTTTATCAGTTTCTAGACTATTAAATTAATACAAAAAAACAATGAGTCAGTGGTTTGCTCTTTAATTTTTTGCACATTTTTAACGTTTTTTTTATTTTTCTACTTTTATGAATATCTGTGGTTTGGTTTATTTATTTTTAATCTTATTAATATTAAATATAGCCAATAGTGCAGAAAGAAACAATAACCCTTACATTTTCCGAACATATTAACTTCCCCGCTATGAAATCTGTTAAATACTATACCTCACTTTCTAGTGGCGCGGTCCTGGTAGCCGAAAAAGTCGTGGATGGCCCTCATTTAGAAGCTTTTTATTTTTTTAAACAATATAGGAAAAATTACCATAGACAAAATATTTATGGTAATCCATATATTTATACGTGTCATATCTCCATCTACCCTATTAATAATTATGACAACATTTATCCAGAGACAAAAACAGGTTTTTTTTTTTAATTGGGCATTGTACAGAAGCTATTAAGAATCAAAACATTTTATTCCGATATATAACCGACTTTTTTAAACTGTGGTACTATGAGAAAGAAAACAACATTTTAAAGTCATAAGAAATTGATCTGGATAAAAAACGTTGAGATTTAATTATCGCGCTAAAAATGAACACATTTCACTATTTTTAATCACATTTAATACTTATTTCAATATAATTTATATAATATACTTTACAGTTTAATGAGCGCCAGCGCCGGCCAGACATACAATAAAGATAATATTGCTTGTAAGAAAATACAATATAACACAAATTGTTGTACAAATGTACAAACCACTTACAATAATATATTTAAGACAACAGCTTGGAAGCGACCACCCGTTCCTGGGGGTTATTATATAGTATATTCACATATATTATATTTATATTTATTATGTATTCATTTATATTGAGTTGTGGTAAATTTAAAATTTTGTACGAACGACTTCAATATGTTGTTTTTATTTGTTGCTATTTTAAAAACCCGGTAAAATTTAAATGTGACCACTTGGGAAGTATACCCTTAGAAACAAAAAAAAATATTTTCAAATCGGTTCAGGCGTCTTTGAGTAATTGGTGAACATACATAAAATAATATAAAACTTTAAAAAAAATTGTACAACCGACCTCAATATAAATTATTAAGAATACTACTCAATTGAAGTTGTATATTTTTTGGGAATTTTAATAAATTATTTTTGGGAGATTTGGTAATACTTTATAACCGACAAAAACATCTGGGACATTTTTTTAAATTATATAAACGTTTTTTTATAGGATAGGGTGACAAACGAGCACACAGTCCACCTGATGGTAAGTGGTTGCTGTGACCCATAGATATCTACATTTGTACTCAATAAAGAATCAAAATGCAGATGCATCCTCGACCCGTGAGGACTAAGACGGAATACCTCTTTTCCAATAAAATGGGTCTCCGGTTCTCTACACTCACCATACGAAACACAGCATTGTCAAGCTGGCATTTTACGCTGGTATTCTGTGAGAGCGTGGTCCTTCCCCGGTCGAGCCGACCCATTCGTGCTACAACTATACTACTAATATAGCTGCAGCGTGGCTCTACCACGTATAAGTGGACTTATGATACGCTATAAAGGTATTAACTACGATGTAGAACAATCGGGAATAAAATAAAATCTACAAAAAGACAAAAAATATATTTATCTAGTAGGCGTGTTTACACTTAGCATATTATTAAATTAATTACATTAATTCATTTAAAAAGATATCAAGTACAAGTCGCGGCACGTAAGTCTAGCGCTGAAAGAAACGTGAAGGGAACGCGCACGAATTGAATTGCCCGAATGCGACTGGAGAGCCAATCAGCGCGTGCGAACGATACGCACGAGCCAATCAGCGCGACTTACGCGCAATAACGGTCACCGCTAGACTTTCGTGCCGCTACTTATAGTACTCGAAAACCTCAATATATTAATTCACTATGCACACATGAACTAATTTAATTAGTGATTGTCGTAGTCAAGTGGAGGCGGAAACGAATATAATAGAATTCAAATAAAAATAGGATTGACCTGGCGCTTTTACATAATATTTTTAACGCTTTCTTTAAGTCTAATCTCTACTTTTATGAATATCTGTAGTTTTGTCTATCCATTTCTAATTTAATATACTTTACTAAAAATTTACTTTCCCGGCCATGAGATCTGTAAAATATTTCACCTCACTGCAAAGTGGCGCCGCCCTGGTGGTATTTCTTGGAGCTAGGAATGCTTCCATGTTTTATTTGCGTTCACTGTCAGGTGCTTATTAGTTTGTTTTTAAGATCATTCTGTCTCATTACCTGTGTCCACAAATAAATATATTTCAAAAAAATTGTACCCAGAGTTGACTACACCGTCAGGACGTCTGGGATCTCAACGTTTCTATGATCTAAGAACTCGAAAAGTCGGGAATTTAAAATAGTTTAAAAATCTAAACATGTCAAAGTCCATAAAAAATAGTTTTGTTCTATGTGCATTAACGTTCTACTAGAATCTAATCAATATATAAGATAGTAAGTGTTTTAAGCCTAAATAGGCGGGAAAAGTGGTGTGATATTTTCATAGGTAAGAGGGATTTTACAGGATAAATAGATTTATTACAATAATTATGAGATTTACGACAGTTAACCCAAGTTAATTAAGATAAGATACGATAAGTAAGAGATAAGTTTATTTTTAATAGAATAAGGGTGACAAACGAGCCCACAGCCCATCTGTTGCTAAGCGGATGTAGCACATGGACATCTACATTTATCCTCGATTAAGAATCAAAATGAAAGGTCTTGTCAGCCGTGAGGACTAAGATTGAAAGTTTCGTTTGCAGTAAAAAAGGGTCTCCGGTTCTCTACACTCACCATACGAAACACAGCAGCGTTAAGCTGCTATTTTACGCTGGCATTCTGTGAGAGCGTGGTACTTTCCCGGTCGAACCGACCCGTTCGTGCTACAAAAACAATAGCTGCAGCGTGGCTCTACCACGTATATATTTATTGTTGCTATAATATTTATAAATATTTTTTAAAGTTACACACTTTACACAAAAATTTTCTCCTATAACATGTGAAGACATTTATTCAGACACGTAACAATTATTTAACGAAAACACTTGCTATGTGCGCGATTCGAACCTGTAGATAGACGTGTGTCAATCGTGAATGATTCGTTCATTTGACCCGAGTCGCATTAAGTAGGTCGCTACGACCAAAGAGTATTGTAATGTCCGACGACAAACATTAGTGGTCACAAGGTCTCACAGATCACGGAGTACTGGAACTGGAAATGTTCCGTTTGAATGATCGAACCGAATGACCCGGTTCGTAAGACGATCTTTAATTTTTATACATTTATAACTTTTTTTAAATTCTTATACATTTAGAAATACTATACAAATAGAAGTGGATAAACGAAACTACGGATCCATTTGGTTTATCCATTTCTTATCTAATAACTATAAAACACAACTCATATTTCGGAAAGAAAACTTAATATCTACGCTTTTCTAACAAACTAACTTCCCCCGCTATGAAATCTGTCAAATATTTCACCTCAGTGGCGCCGTTCTGGCGTCTGAAAAATCCGTGGACGCCCACATTGGCGAACATATCTTGTAACATACTTATAAAAAAAACCATACATTCGAATTGTGAACCTCCTTCCTTTTGAAGTCAGGTAAAAATACCTATGTCAAGCTATAGACTAGTGTTATGGACGTTATGAACAAATGCTAAAGAACTACGCAATGGTCTACTTAATCAGCTTATGAAATGAAATGAACGCGTCGCTCCAAGTGTCATTGTCAGGACAGCAACGAACATTATCCGGTCACCGAAGGACCAAAAGAAGCTGGAGTCGGTTGTACTCAGCGTGCATCTTCAACCTCACTCTCCTGTTACTAGATCTCAAGGTATGTATGGGAACACTTGAGTGATGCGGCCGATGCCCCTGCAAATTAGAATTATTTACTTTAGATTGTCTAAATTAACATAATTTCACTTTAAACTCTTTTAAAAAAACCGTTAGACACACACTCTTTCTTTCTCCTGTGTCTTGGAGACAGTTTACATCATGAAGCAAATACAAAGAGGAGACGGCATAAGCAACTGTGCACTGTGATTCTAAGTAGGTCCTAACGTCATCAAAGTGGGCGTGGCTTTAGTTAGGATACTGTCAGCATTCGTCCTGTGCGCTTATGTGTTGAACAATCGCAAATCGGTATTTTCGTAGTATTAAGAAGAAAAGGATGAAGTGTTGTGTTTTATCGTGTAAAACTACTCAGATAGACGCTCTGATGTTATGGATGGCATCACATTTCATTTGTACGTAATTTTACACCTAATTTATTAAAATAGTTCTAGAAAAATCTCTTTGCGTCGGCTTTCAAATATAATTAAATATATTCGACACTAGATGGGGACAGTTTGTGTCATGTAAACTAACAATATAAAGGTACGTAGAGCTCAGTAATTATAAAATAATCATACGAAGGTGCTGAAATTTGTTTTGCATTCAGACAAAGAAATTTTAATCGCCAAAGTATTATTTTTATAGTTTATAACATTTTGTGGACAGGCCGCCACATACCGTAGCTAAACTACATTGCAACATCGATATGGAACGATTCGAGTAGTTTTACTATTTATCGGTAGATGTAGATAGTGTAAAGTGGGCGGGGCTTTGCATCCCCTTTCCCCGCAAATTGTCACGCGTTGTTACATAGTGAAATTTAATTACGTCTCCTCTTTGTATTTGCTTCATGGTTGACATACATAAATTTCACAAGGATTATTATAATTTTGATAATTTTTACGTATTATTTCTAGCCATACAAATTCTTTTACTTGCTGGCGAACAGATAGCAGAGATAGCAGAGATCGTTAGGGATCACTGCCTTTGGGAGGGGTACCTGGTGCCCAGGCCGGCGGTGAACAGCAGGCGGCGGCCGCGCACCAGGAACTCGGGGCAGCGCGCGAACCGGAACAACGTGGACGCGCACTCGCCCGCACGCAGCTCGCTGTTGCCCGACATGATGCCCTGCGATACGAGAACAGTTATACTCACACACTCACACACACTTTAACAGTGGTAGAGCCACGCGGCAGCTTTTGCTGTCGCGCTTTGCCGCCACCTCGAATCGGGGTGGTACCACGACCTCACAGAATACCAGCGTGAAGTAGAGGCTTACCTCTGCGTTGCACTTGGTGAGTGCAGGTATCCGGAGGCCCAATTCCCCCCCACCCCCAACACGGTAGCGGAATTAAATAAAAAAAACCACCCAGGAGGGTACCAACACCCCTAGAGAATCCCTCGCTGAGCATCCAAGACCAAACTATTCCACTCCTAGCGTGGGTGCTCAGGCTACTCCGCGTATTCGGGGGAGGGGAGAGGGGTAAAAGTCCGCTCGCGACTAATACTGCTCGGGGCAAGCGGAGCTTAACGCTGTCCATTACCATCTAGAGACGGCGAAGCCAGCCTTGCTCTTTTTAACCGAGACTCAGGTGTCATCTTCGGCTGATACTTCATATCTCTCCTACCCGGGGTATAAATTACAACACTCATTTGTGCTCCGGGCTGGAGTTTGCGTGTACGTCAGAGAGGACATCTGTTTTCGACGCCTCGGCAGTCTTGAAGGTACGGACTTGTCCATCCTATGGCTGCGCGTAGACAGCGATGACATTCCCCGCGTCTACGGGTGCCTCTATAAGTCCCATAGCGGTAATGCTGATACATACCGACTCATCGACTACGTCCAAATCACTGCAGACTCCGTGCTACAACAGGTCCCATCCGCAGAGATCGTGATACTCGGTGATTTAAACGCCCACCACGCCGAATGGCTCGGTTCACAATGCAATTCCAATCGCAGTTGCGATCTGCAGCTTGCCGCTGTGTTTGACACTATAGGTTGGCCGATTGGGACGGGATGCGGTTTTTTTTGCATCCTGCCCTTGGGGGCGGGTTTGCTTCTCGCCGGAAGATCCCAGCGTTGTTGTCGATTCTGTTGCTGATGTGGTACTTCAGGAAATTTCGTGGAAATTTTTATTCCATCCTCTGTGGTGACCATCGGAGGCCGATCCCAGCCATAGTTTGGTCGCTCCTTTAAAATAGCATCACGCTATAAGCAGGAGTGCTACCCGGCCTGGGCTGACGCATCAACGTCTCGGGATATAAACACCAGCGCTCTTAAAAATAAGTATAATTCCGCCTCCAGGTCCTTCAAAAGTGTCATCGCTAAGGCAAGGTCTGAGCACATCGGCAGAATTGACGAGAAGCTAGTTCGCCTTCCTTCGGGAACCCGTGCATTCTGGTCTCTCGCCAATACTGTCCAAGAGAATTTTTGTCAGCCATCTCTTCTCTCTCTGCACAGAAAGGACGACTCACTGGCCCATGCCGCAAAGAAGAAAGCCGATCTGTTAAACACTCTCTTTGCGTCCAACTCGACTCTAGATGACGGGGGGAACACACCATCGACCATCCCGCTATCTGAGTACTCCATGCGCGAAAATGCGGTTTACGCAGCGCTCGGTTCGCAAAGCACTCTTCTCCCTGGACGTCAGCAAGTCGAGTGGGCCCGATGGAGTCCCTCCCATTGTGCTGAAGACGTGTGCTCCGAAGTTGGCACCGGTTTTAACGCGTCTTAAGCTCATGCGGTACCTTAAGGGTTATCAGTTGATTAGTGACCGCCAGTACGGTTTTCGTCAGGGTCGATCAGCTGGTGATCTTCTAGTCTACCAGACTCATAGAGGGGCGGAGGCAATAGAGTCCAAGGGGGAGGCATTGGGCGTTAGTTTGGACATGCGAAGGCCTTTGATCGTTTCTGGCACAAAGCGCTTCTTTCGAAGCTTCCTTCCTATGGGTTTCCCGAGAAATTCTGCAAATGGATCACCGGTTTCCTTGCTGATCGGAGCATCAAGGTCGTAGTAGACGGTGCATGCTCCGATTTCAAGCCTATCAACGCTGGTGTTCCACAAGGCTGCGTGCTATCACCAACGCTGTTTCTCCTGCATATCAATAATATGTTGCAAACTAGTAACATTCATTGCTATGCAGACGACAGCACTGGTGATGCCTTATACACCGGCCGTGCCAATATTTCTCGGGAAAACGTCGCCGAGTACCGGGACAAACTTGTGTCTGAAGTCGAGTCTTTGTTAAACAAAGTCTCGGATTGGGGGCGACTAAACCTAGTCCAGTTCAATCCCCAGAAGACATAAGCTCGCGCGTTTACCGCTAAAAAGAACCCCTTTGTCGTATCTCCTCAGTTTCAAGGCACTCCACTTGCTGCCTCAGCTAGCATCGTAATCCTCGGCGTCGACATATCGAATTGTGTGCAGTTTCGTGATTACTTAGAAGGGAAGGCCAAATTGGCCTCTAAAAAGCTTGGCGTGCTCAGCAGAGCGAGACAGTATTTCATGCCGGCACATCGCTTGCAATTTTACAAAGCGCAAGATCGGCCCCACATGGAATACTGTTCTCATCTCTAGGCCGGGGCACCCCAGTGCCAGCTCTTTCCACTTAACTGCATCCAGCGCAGTGCGGTTCGAATCGTCGCCGACCGAGTTCTTTCTGATCGGCTCGATACACTGGCACTGCGTAGAGATGATGCATCTCTTTGCGTATTTTATCGCATTTATCACGGGGAGTGCTCTGAGGAATTGTTCGGACTAATTCCAGCCGCTCAATTTCACCATCGCACATCGCGACAAAACTCGCGATACCATCCATACCATCTGGATGATTGGCGGTCCACCACTGTGCAATTTAGAAGAAGTTTTCTCCCTCGCACAACTTCCTTGTAGAATTGATTACCACCAGCGATTTTTCCGGACCGATACCACTTAGGAACCTTCAAGAAAAGAGTTTACACCTTTCTAAAAGGCCGGCAACGCATCTGCAATTCCCTTTCACACTTCTACAATTCATGGGCGGCGGTAGTCATTTACCATCAGATGAGCCGCATGCTCGTTTGCGGCAAAAAAACACACACACACGTTAAGCAGTCAGCAAATCATTTAAGCCGAGTATTCAGGTGAGAGTTCCAATATCAAAAGTCCGTAAATAAATGAAAAAATCACTCTTGAATAGTCGTAGTAAGCACAAGTCTGCTAACAGGTATAGGAGAAGATGAAAGAATGCGGGAGACTTTATAGTGTAAGGTAATGTTCTTTAGGAATGAGGTGAAATATTTAACAAATTTCACGGCGGGGATTTATTATTATATTTTATATTAACAAATGAATATAACAAATTACAGATATCTCTAAAGGTAGAAAAATTAAGAAAGAAGCTAAAAATATGTAAAAAAAAATACATCACTGAAGCATTGTTTTGTGTATATACATGCACTAAGAACTAAGTAGAGAGTAAAACTTATATTTAAATCGCGACTTTTCAATGATGATGACAGCGTGTCATCATCATTGAAAAGTCGATTATCTGCGTAACAAATAAGTTCACCTCAGTCCCAAATAGCGACATATGGCGAGCGTCAAATTATTAGCCCTCATTAACAACGATAGTTCGAAATCGTGACTCCAAAAACTGAGAACGATCTGGATGCGGTCAAGTAGAAGGAGCTGGCAATGAGAAGCCCCAGCCCAGAGATGGGAACAGTATTCCATGAGAGGCCGAACCTGCGCCTTGTAAAGTTGCATGCAGTGTGCCGGCTTAAAAGACTGACCCGCTCTCCTGAACACGTCAAGCTTTTTAGAGGCTTTATATAGGTGTTATAATTAAACTTATAAATAACTAAAAAAACATCTGTGAAGTTCACACGCGCTAGAATTGAAACCTACAGAAAAAGAAACCGCGATAATAGGAAACACTGTATACTGTATTCTATTTCATTCTCTCGCAGACTAAATCGTATATATTTATCTCTTTTCTCTTTTTTTTTCTCCTTTTCATTTCAACGAGTTTCAAATCACAACGGTTCTAAAGAAGATTTCATTTCTGCTCAAGACAACTCTCTCTGCACACGAGCCCTGTTGCGAACATACTTCACGAACCTAAACCGCACCATCGCGTGACTCGTCGCACACCACTAGCCGTAGGATCAGTCTCTGCCTAGCCAAGCGTACAATTCGCGGCACGTAAGTCTAGCGCTGAACGAAACGTGAAGGGGACGCGCACGAATTGAATTGCATGACTGCGACTGGAGAGCCAATCAGCACATGTAAACGATACGCACGAGCCAATCAACGCGACTTACGCGCAATAAGCCAATCAGCGCTACTTATGAGCAATAACGGTCACTGCTAGATTTTCGTGCCGCTACTTATATGTTACGTTGTTCTGAAATTCTCTATATATATTTGTTCTGTAATAAATCTAATTATCTGTAACGAAGTAACAACAATAACTGCTTGTGTATGTGTAAAATCATGTGTATATCAAAATTATACACATTTATACAGCGAACTAAAGTTTTATTCATAGGTCTATACAATCTGAAAACAACTTCAATAAAAAAGTACTACAGCTGCCGCGTGCTACGTGTATACTCACCTCAATAATGGCGGTTTGTCTGACATTGCCCACGTGCACCGAACACTGGAAGCCGGGATATATCGCTGTAGAGTGCCTCAGTACACGGACAGTCGCCTGTGCACACAAACGAACAACACATTTATATAACTAACAATTTTGTAAGAGAAATTATTATGCCTCAATACAGTGACAACCAATGGCAGACAGTGAGCCTTACCACCATCACAGATAAAGAGAAAGTCAAGGTCAAAAGTAATTTTTCGACATGTACGCCACTCTAATGAAGTCAACGCTCCGTCCCCCTCGTGCTCTGTTCCAAAGTCCCGAAACCTTTCAGCTCGAGTTACAAAACCGTTTTCAGTGCCTAGAAGACTGCAATGAAGTGGACGATATGAATGACAAGCTCGTGGAAACTGTCCATGCGGTCGGAGCTAAGTTCTGCAAGACCCGCCGCAGAAGAACACAAAAACTCTCCGATCACACTCTTAATCTCATGGCTGTTAGACGGGAGATGAAGCTACATTCTTCAACAGACTTGACAGCATACAGGCATCTGAACAGACAGATCTCCAAATGCATGCGGCGGGACTTACGCAACTTCAATACAGCTCGTATTGAAGAAGCGATCGAGCGGAACCAAGGCTCCAAAGTCTTTGCCAGAGATCTGTCTGCCAGAAAGAGCCACCTGTCAAAGCTGAAGACAGAATGTGGCAGCATCGTTTCCGGGACACCTGAGATTTTGAGTGAGATTGAGAGGTTCTATGGGCAGCTGTACACGTCATCGTTGGAGCCACACGCAAGTGTGAGTAACGATCCAAGAGCGAGTCTCATCCGACACTATTCCGAAGATATCCCGGACGTCAGTCTGAGCGAGATTAGAATGGCTCTCCAGCACCTTAAAAACGGTAAGGCCCCAGGCGAGGATGGAATTACAGCGGAGCTTCTGAAAGCGGGTGGAAGACCGGTACTTGAAGTCCTTCAGAAGCTCTTTAATTCCGTCCTCCATGGTGGCGTTACACCGGAGGCGTGGAGCAGAAGTGCGGTGGTCTTGTTCCTCAAGAAAGGTGACAACGCTCTCTTGAAGAACTACAGACCGATTTCCCTTCTGAGCCGCGTCTACGTGCTGTTTTCGAGAGTCATTACGAATCGTCTCGCGCGCAGACTTGACGACTTCCAGCCTCCCGAACAAGCCGGTTTCCGAAAGGGCTTTAGCACCATAGACCACATACATACCCTTCGGCAAATTGTACAGAAGTCCGAAGAGTACAATTTGCCACTATGTCTGGCGTATGTGGACTATGAGAAAGCCTTTGATTCCGTCGAAATTTGGGCGGTGCTGCAGTCCCTTCAGCGGTGCCAAGTTGACTGTCGGTATATCGAAGTGTTGAAGTGCTTGTACAGTAGGGCTACGATGGCTATCCGAGTACAGAACCAGAGTACGAAACCTATCCAATTGCAGAGAGGTGTAAGACAGGGTGACGTCATATCCCCGAAACTCTTCACCGCTGCATTGGAAGACGTTTTCAAGCTTCTGGACTGGAAAGGATACGGTATCAACATCAATGGCGAGTACATCACTCACCTTCGATTTGCCGACGATATAGTCCTTATGGCAGAATCGCTGGAGGACCTAAGCACTATGCTCAATGACCTCGATAGTGTTTCCCAACGGATAGGTCTTAAGATGAACATGGACAAAACAAAGATCATGTTCAATGTCCATGTCACACATATGCCGGTAGTTGTTGGGAGCACTAAGCTCGAAGTTGTTGACGATTATGTTTACCTGGGACAAATAGTCCGACTAGGTAAGTCCAACTTCGACCGAGAGGTCAATCGACGGATTTAACTCGGCTGGGCAGCGTTCGGGAAGCTACGACACATCTTCTCGTCAGACATACCTCAAAACCTGAAAACGAAATTGTACAACCAGTGCGTGTTGCCAGTGATGACTTATGGAACTGAGACGTGGTCCTTCACTGCTGGCCGTATGAGGAAGCTCAAGGTCGCTCAGCGAGCTATGGAGAGGGCTATGCTCGGAGTTTCTCTGCGTGATAAACTTAGGAATGAGGATATCCGTAGTAGAACCAGAGTAACCGACATAGCCCAACGGATTAGTAAGCTGAAGTGGCAGTGGGCCGGCCATATAGCTCGAAGAACCGACAACCGATGGGGAAGAAAGGTTCTCGAGTGGCAGCCTCGTACCGGTAGGCGAAGTGTAGGGCGTCCCCCCACGAGATGGAGTGACGACCTGGTAAGACATGCAGGAAGTCGATGGATGCAGGTGGCTCAGGACCGTGCTTTGTGGCATTCTTTGGGGGAGGCCTATGTTCAGCAGTGGACTTGTGAAGGGCTGTAATGATGATGATGATGATGACGCCACATGTCTCTCAATTCTGAGAGGGTGAATTTGAGGTGGTTGGTCCACAACATTTGCTGCCATCAGGGCAGCGTCACTTTGGAATGAGGTGCTTGATATCTCATGGCGGGGAAGTAAAATTGTTGAAAAGTGTTATAGATTAACGTTTGTTATTAAAATATGAGTACAAAATTATATTCATTTGATTTAAAATGGGAAAACCAAACTACGGATCTTCTTAAAAGTAAAATAATTTGACGTTCAAAATGTGTACAGTGCCACCAACTTATCTGTTCAGGTGGACAAAATTGGAACTAATGCCGCCATTTTGTAAATGACATTTCGCTGTCAGTTATTATTTATTCTGAGCTATCAGGTGAATGTTTTTAAAAAGTGCAATTAAAATGCCTAAAGCTCTTAAAAGTGATGCGCGACAGATTATCCTAAAAGTTTTATCTTTTATGAAAGAAGAGAAACGTGTACAAGCCCCAACTATACCATTTGAAAAGCTGTATGAGCGCGTTGCTGCCGCGACTGGTTAGTATTGCCAGATATGGAAAATTAAAATCACCAAATAATGTACTTGTAAAACATAGTAAAAAAATTATCTCAATTTACTGTAATTCGTCTAAAGTACCTAGCTTTGTAGTTTGTGGTCTGTGAAGTAGCTTTAGTGACGGCATATACACGGGCTTACATTTATTTAATTTTACCTATACAATAATTATTTGTCGTTTCGTTACAGGTGTTTCTGAGCGATTTGTACACAAACTCGTAAATGAAGAGAAACACGCTGAAGAATCCAATTCTAAAATTTCTACCCCTGGCAAAAAAAGGCAAAGAAAAACCGGGAAGCAAGAAGTTGATAATTTTGACATTGGTGTTATAAGAAGAAAAATTCACGAATTTTATTCAGTGAAAAAAGAAATCCCTACCATACCCAAATTACTGAGTATTTTAAAGGAAGATATTGATTTCAAAGGAGAACGTGAAACTCTTCGAAAATTGCTTCACAAAATAGGATTTCGTTATAAGAAAACGAAATCAAATAGAAAAATGTTGTGCGAACGTAACGACGTAGTTGCATGGAGAGCAACCTACCTACAAAAAATTAAAGAAAATGAGCGTGGTGAAAAAAGACCTGTTATTTATTTAGACGAAACTTACATTCACTCGTCTCACTCAACTGGGAAATGTTGGCAAAGTCCTGAAGAAGATGGTGATTTGGAACCTGTTTCGAAAGGTAATAGGTGGATCATAATCCATGCAGGTGGAGAAAAAGGTTTTGTGGAGAATGCCCTTCTCGTATTTAAATCAAATACAAAATATGGGGACTACCATGATGAAATGAATAGCATTAATTTCAAAAAATGGGTATATGAAAAATTACTACCTAATCTGCATGAACCTTCGCTCATTGTAATGGATAATGCGCCATACCATAGTATTTGCGTAAATAGGTGTCCTAATTCAAACCACAGTAAGGCTGATATGCAGAAGTGGCTTGAAAAAAACAATGTAAGTTTCAATGAACAAATGACAAAACCTCAGCTTTATGAATTAATAAAGAGAAATAAACCTGCTCCGGAATACGAAATTGATAACCTGATGAAAAGTCATGGCCATGCTATTCTTAGATTGCCGCCTTATCATTGCGACTTGAATGCAATTGAAATGATATGGAGCTCTATGAAAAGGAACATAGCAGACAAAAATGTTGGAAAATCTAATGTTCTAATGCCCCAATTAATTGAAGATGCATTTAATAAAATTACACCGGTGCAGTGGAAAAACATATGCAATCATGTGAAAAAAATTGAAAATGAATACAGACTAAAAGACGCGTATTTAGATGAACCCTTTATTATAGAGTGTCAGAGCGATAGCGAAACCGATTCCAGTGACTCAGAAGATGAATTATTGGAACCAGTATCTAACGCGGGTACATCTTTCAAAACAGGAATTCCTGGAGTTCGACCGCTTGAACTCCGAGACCACGACCACAATTATTTTTATAAAATATAAATTATATATATATATATATATATAAATATAATTTATATATATATATATATATATTAACACGAAATTTGTTTTATTTTATATTATGTGTAATGAATATGTAGTCACCTATTTCCTCGGTAAATTTCTTAAATGGCAATGGTAAGCACTCCACTAGCGACTCTGTCAACTGAACAGATAAGTTGGTGGCACTATAAAAAAACCAAAGAGGCATACCATAGAATAGGCTTGGGCAAAAAATTTCGATATATCGAAATATCGATATTTTTAAATAAAAATATCGATATATATCGTTTAAATCGCGATATTTCGATATATCGATATCATCGACATCATGCAAATGTTGACGATATATCGATATTTATCACGCGATATATATCGATACTGTTTAAAAATATAGATTCGATATATATCGATATATTTTTTCCCTTGCCCATCCCTACCATAGAAGATAGGTTTGTGTATATGCATAAACTAGAAACCGAACACATGTGAAGTCTACCGCGTTTTTTTTAGTCTCGCTGGGTTTCTTGCTGGTTTTCCCCAGGACAGAAGTTTTTTCCGAACCAGTGGTAAATTAAACAAATGAGTGACTTTGATAAGTATTATTTTTATAATAATCTATATTACTTAAAAAGTTTCCGTTTCTGCTTCTATTGGTGGATTTCTCACAAGAACACATCACGGCTTTACACTGTTTTGCATGCACACTTAAACACTGCCAATTGTTTGAAACTGTAATTTAAAATACCTGGAAGTACAGACAGCCACGAGGATCGTTAGGATCTTCTAGAGGCACTACGTCACTACAGACACATTTGTGAGCATCCTCTAGGTTTTTCTTTGTTCCTTCTTCAGACTTATCTTCATCGCTTTCAGATCTAAAAAGGAAAAATGGCGTATAAACTTTTCGAATCATCATCAGTACTGCTGCTGAGCATAGGCCATCGACTTCCTGCATGTCTCACCAGGTTGTCACTCTATACTATGCTAGATAGATAGGGGGAGAGGGGGGGGGGCATACACTTCGCCTACCGGTACGAAGCTGCTACTCGAGAACTTCTCTTTAAGTTTCAAACCGTGTAGTGGAGGTGAAGAATATCCACAGATATCTTCGCGTGGGTGTCACTGCATAATAGTACTACATATTTCTACTGCGTGTGCACTGTACACATGGTTTTTCTTCAAGCGTCTCCCACACACAAGCGACTTGCGGTGGCGGCTAACCGCGAGCCGCGGCTCCAGCCGCTGCAACAACCCACCACAGCGGTTGCAGTGGCGGCCTGAAGCTCCATTTGCTGTGGCGTCTGTGCTACGATCGGACGTCAGTCCACATGGCTAAGCGTTCACGATGTCTTTTCAGTATATATTATATTCAGGAATATTATCTCATATTTTTTTAATGCTTTTGGAATCAAGGTGTGAAGTATTATAAAGTACTGGATAATTTTGCACTGTTTCTATAAAAACCTCTATATTTATCGCCATTTTCCACGCGATACATGCGGCCTCTTATAAAAGTTTGCAACTGACCGCATTGCGGCCACTGGCGACCGATAGAGGCCGCACGTTCGCTAACAGGCGGAGGGGGCGTGGCATGCGGCCGCGGCTAGCCGCTGGTAGGCCGCGACGTGGCCGCACGGGTTTGCAGACTCACTTACATTGCAAGCGAATCTCTCATCTGGCCGCCACCGTGATCACCACCGCAAGCCGTTTCTGTGTGGGAGACGCTTTATTTTTGTTGTTATTAGAAATACGGTGCTGCCCACCTCCTGCCGATATCCTCTTACGGCACCCACGGGACGATATGGGGTAGTGAACATTTTTACACAGTCACTACACGGTTTATATATAATTATACGTATTCATTGTACAGAATCAGATCTAACATAATTTTGGTCCATCGAGCCGGATACGAATCACAGTGCCTTAAGTTCCTCACATCTAAACTGTACAGTTTTATTGTGGCAGTCTAATCAGTACTTACTAGTGATGCAACGAATACGAAAACGAATATTCGTATTCGCCGAATAGTAGACATTTAACGAATATTCGTATTCGACGAATACTGATCACGAATATTTAAAAACTAATATTTTTGTACGCAACTCTTAATTACTGGCGGACTTGGATAACGCGCCTCAACGACGGGGAACTCCCAAAAATATTTTTCACTGAAACTATGTACAGTCGCCTCGGAAAGACTTTTTTCAACGGATGGGAACATCCAAACTAAAAAAGAAATCGCCTAAAACCAGAAAATCTACAAATTTTATGTTTTTTAAGTAAGCATTTGCCTATTGTAAATTTTAATTATTAGAACTATAGAAAATCATCAAATAAATTAGTTTTTTATTACCATGGCGAGATATGGGTATTCGCCGAATAGTAGGTTTGATATTCGTATTCGTATTCGTATTCGTAAAAGTAGTATTCGTTGCATCACTAGTACTTACCTATATAGATTCCCCGCCTCAATATCGTCCTTCGGCTTCACAAGGCAACTCTCCACGTTAGCGATATCCTGCAGTAGGTTCTTGTTCTTCCTGCGTACGTGCTTGCGGTTTCTTGCTTGTTCGCTTGCGATTTTCGCGTCACGTATCAGTTCCGGTAGCTAGAAGAAAAGCACCGTATACAATATTTTTATATATTATCAAACCGGTTTGATCCAAAAGAAGCACTTATGTATTTTTAAGAGATTAATTATTTTGACAATCAATTCAAATAATATTATGAATGAACATAGATTATTTTATGATATATGTATACGATATCTTAGAATATACATATATATGTTCTGGTTTATTCGAACTTCGTTACCTTGTTTACTTTTGTGGCACTACCTCCCATATGTTTATCTCTGCTTAGCCTAATGGTTGACTGGGAGAGAATGTCTTAAGGCATTAAGTCAGCCATATGTACGATTTTTCTTTTGTGCATAAAAGTTTAAACAAATAAATAAAAATAAAAAAATAAAAACATAGAAATGTTATTGAGTTGTAATCGTTGGTGAAGGTCATAGAATAAAGGTGAAAAGCGAGCACTCAGTTAACCTCATAGTAAGTGGATGCTGCGGATCATAGACATCTACGTTTATCTTCGATTCAAAATCACAATACAAATGCGTGGTCCACCTTCGAGGACTAAGATGCAATGCTTCGTTACCTACAACATTACGCTATACTCATCATATGAACTAAAATATTGTTCTTGTTTGAGGATGCTTGTATATAAAAGTGCGCATGCACGCGCGCGCGTGTTCGCCTGTATATGTGTGTGTGCGTGCGTGTGTGTGTGTGTGTGTGTGTGTGTGTGTGTGTGTGTGTGTGTGTGAGAGAGAGAGAGAGAGAGAGAGAGTTAAGCATGAGTCACCTGTGTGCTGCGGTAAAAACCGACGCAGTGTGTAATGAAGAGGTAAGTAAGCTTGTCGGTGTGTATTTAAAAGAGAGAGTGAGAGAGAGAGAGAGAGAGAGAGAGCTCTTTTTCTCAGAGTTAGAGCGCTCTCTGTTTCTCTGTTTCAGTGAGCAAGAGAAAGAGAGAGAGTGAGTACGGCGGCAGTCACCTGCGCACTGCGGCAGGGGCCGGCGCACGTGCCGAAGGCGGGGCGGGCGGCGGGCGCGCTGCGGGCGGGCGGGCGCGCGAGCAGCACCATGCCGGCGCGCAGCTGCGGCGGGCGCGCGCCGAGCCCCAGGCTGGCCGACTGGCCGGCACGCACGCCGCCGCACGCCACGCGGTTGCGGTACACCGTGCGCACGCTGATCGCGCTGAACTCCCCGCTGTCCATCGGACCTGCCCGCAAACAACTATTGCTTCCACGAATACTGTTCATACTATTTTTTTATAGAATAACATTGACAAACGTGCACACAGTCCAACTGGTAATAGAATGGAATAATTTTTATTCCATTCTATTACCTTTTTCCTAAATCCTTTTCTAAAATAAAAGCAACCTAAGTTACTCCTTATAACATTAGCTATGTGCCAGTAAAGTTCTCGTCAAAATCGATCCAACCCTTGGGGAAATTAGCCGGAACAAACAGACAAACCGACAGACAAATAGACAGACAAAAACATCTAAAATTTCTTGAAATGAAATTGTTTTTGTTATACATATCGTATATACTTTCATACGCATTTAGAAGCTGTTATACAATTATTGTCATTTTTGAAGCTGCTAACACCGGCTAACACAATAATTGTAGATTATATTATCCCCATAATTTGATTGCCTTTTAAGCAATCTATATATTTGAAAATATTTGCTTAATTGGACTCTACATTATTTTGATAATTATTATTTATTAGCCAGAAGTATAAGTTGAATTAAATGTGAAGTTTAAATCAGTACCTACCTTCTGCGTGGTAAATCCATAGATCGTACATTGAGTAAAAAAAATAAGTTGATTGTAAATTGTGGACACAAGAATACGCAATTACTTTTTTTTTTTACTTTATAGCGCATTTATTGTTTTAAAATATTTTGTTTTAAAGTTGATTTACTATTTTATTAAAGTTCTTGTTTATTTCTCGATTTTGAGTGAATCTGAAGTTCAATAACTGATTTTATTTGTCTGAAAATGAGTAGACCTACTAAACGAGCTGCTCATATGAGGCAGCGCCGTTTAAATGAGACAAACGAAGAAAGGGAGAAACGCATATCTAAAAAGAGAAAATCTACCTCAAAAGACATTTCAGAGACTTGAAAAGAGCGCAAATATAGTCTTTCAATAATGCAGGCTTACATGAAAAAAGTTATGAACGGGGAAAATGTCGAAAAACGTACTCTCCATCTCGGCTTAATCCAAGATCGTCTACCGAATGAGACGGAAGAGCAACGTACCCACCGCCTCGGCGTGATTCACGATCGTCTATTGAATGAGACAGAAGAGCAACGTGCCCACCGCCTCGGCGTGATCCATGATCGTCTATTGAATGAGACAGAAGAGCAACGTGCCCACCGCCTGGACGTGATCCACGATTGTCTATTGAATGAGACAGAAGAGCAACGTGCCCACCGCCTCGGCGTGATCCACGATCGTCTATTGAATGAGACAGAAGAGCAACGTGCCCACCGCCTCGGCGTGATCCATGATCGTCTATTGAATGAGACAGGAGAGCAACGTGCCCACCGCCTCCACGTGATCCACGATTGTCTATTGAATGAGACAGAAGAGCAACGTGCCCACCGCCTCGGCGTGATCCACGATCGTCTATCGAATGAAACAGAAGAGCAACGTGCCCACCGCCTCGACGTGATCCATGATCGTCTATTGAATGAGACAGAAGAGTAACGTGCCCACCGCCTTGACGTGATCCACGATTGTCTATCGAATGAGACAGAAGAGCAACGTGCCCACCGCCTCTGCGTGATCCACGATCGTCTATTGAATGAGACAGAAGAGCAACGTGCCCACCGCTTCGGCGTGATCCACGATCGTCTATCCAATCAGACGAAGGAGCAACGTGCCCACCGCCTAGACGTGGTCCACGATCGTCTATTGAATGAGACAGAAGAGCAACGTGCCCACCGCCTCGGCGTGATCCACGATCGTCTATCGAATGAAACAGAAGAGCAACGTGCCCACCGCCTCGACGTGATTCATGATCGTCTATTGAATGAGACAGAAGAGCAACGTGCCCACCGCCTTGACGTGATCCACGATTGTCTATCGAATGAGACAGAAGAGCAACGTGCCCACCGCCTTGACGTGATCCACGATTGTCTATCGAATGAGACAGAAGAGCAACGTGCCCACCGCCTCTGCGTGATCCACGATCGTCTATTGAATGAGACAGAAGAGCAACGTGCCCACCGCTTCGGCGTGATCCACGATCGTCTATCCAATGAGACGAAGGAGCAACGTGCCCACCGCCTAGACGTGGTCCACGATCGTCTATCGAATGAAATAGAAGAGCAACGTCCCCACCGTCTCGACGTGATCGACGATCGTCTATCGAATGAAACAGAAGAGCAACGTGCCCACCGCCTCGTAGTGATCCACGATCATCTATCCAATGAGACGGAGGAGCAACGTGCCCACCGTCTCGGTTTGATCCACGATCGTCCATCGAATGAGACGGAGGAGCAAAATGCCAACCGACTCGGATTGATTCACGGTCGCTGATCAAACGAAACACCTGAAACTAATTCAATTCAACTTAGTAGAATACAACAAGCCCGTCAAGGTTGTAGGAACAATATTTTGAAGCGACTATTAATATTTTAGCTGACGTACCTACAGCAACAGCATTCCAATTTACTAGCATATATGTATAGTACACTATTACCTGAAGAACTGATTACTTTAGGTACAATAACTACGTGCTCTCGATGTAACAATAATATTAGGAAAAGAAAAATTCCAACAACTGCATATTGGAATAAAATGACGAAGATATGACGACGAAGAAGGATTTTTAAGCCGCATTGTACCTTTTTAAAGATTGTTAAACTTAATTACAGTTTCAGTCAAAATTGGTGCAAAGGGCAGGTCATTTTATTTGCAAAGCATGTTGTGGAAATAGCTGAACAGTTACCACTGACACCAAATCAAACTGGGTTAGTAATGGTAGTGGAAAGTCTCGAGAATCTTTCATGTTCTAAATAATTCATCCTGGATAAGCAGAGACTGAATCGAGCATTAACTTGGATAATTTCCAATAACCATCTTTACAGAGATGTAAAGTGCATTATGAAATTACTCTTGAGCGCCACTATTAATGTCTTGTACATGGCAACACTAGTTACCACTAGCGCCCTCTAGTATTAAGTAGCAGAATTAGGAGTCAAGATCCTTCTAGAAATTTCGGGACCCTATATAAGGCCGGTATAGACCACGACCGAGGCAGTATTTAATTGGCGATATAAGCGAATACTTCGAAGTGATATAACTGCGAACTAAAGTGATCAGTAGTACAACTGTGTTTTATTATTAGTGTGTTTTTAAGTTGTAATTAGTGTTCCGTAATTAAAGTATAAATTTTGGTAATTCAATCGGAAGTTTTTAATTGTCTCGAACCCCAAGCTCGTAACACTACTTTAACCCTTTATAAGGCAGTGGGCTTATATGCTCCACCAATTTTTCACCCAAATAATTTGAGTTTCGATCATTAGTACGACTTTTGCTTCCTACTAAGGGCAACATTGGTTCATATTACGTCAAAAAACGTCTGCCATATATGTTTTCACTGACAGCTGTCACTTTGCTGTCAACAAGTAGCGCGTGAGTTGGGTATTTTCGCTCGTGAAAAATTAATCTAGTGGAATCTTCGAAAATATTTAAAAAAAATGGTAAGAAATGATTTTAATGTATTACTTAGTGTTTATAATTGATGTAACGAACAAAATTTTTTACGTTATTATCTAAAATTATGGAGTATTTTATTATTTCTTGGTGGCCGCATGTGGCCCTTGGCCCATTCGGCATATATCTGGTGGCCGTATTTGGCCATCTGCCTGCTCGGCGACTGCAAAAATTCTATTGACCTATTGTTATTTTATTTTTATTTTTAGGCGACACTTAGAGATGAAGACATTGAAAAAGAGCTGGAAATGATGTTTGGACTCCCGGAAGATCCTGATGATTCCGAAGATGGATATGAAGCGGACGATCCAGATACTAATTTGAATTTAACTTGTGTCTTTGAGGATGAAGACCTATTTGAACATCAAGGAAGCAGTGCATCAGGACCGGGCTTAGTTCCAAGCCCAATTCCCGGTACATCTTTGGACGAGAATTGGGAAAATGTCAGTCCAAATATTGAACGATTTGAACGCCAGTCTGAAGACAGTCCCATTCGCGGCCCGATACGTCGTCGTCGTGTTCTCTCTTCAGAATCCTCGTCGTCCTCGGAAAACGAATCACAGAGTGAAACCTCAGCAGATGATGGTAACGACGACGAATGGAAAAAAATCATGTGGTCAGCTGAGAGTAGACCTAAAGCTGAAGACTACGATCGGATACCACTGAAAGCGAAAGATTTCTTTCCAAGCAGGACAGCGCCGATCGTATATTTTTCCAGATTTTTTTCAGGCGAGGTAATCAATCATATAGTTGAGCAAACGAACTTATATGCAGCCCAGAAAAAGAGTATGAAGTGGGAACCAGTGACGAGTGCTGATATAAAAGCCTTTATTGGAATGATTATAATTATGGGCCTCCATGTTTTACCCTCCATCGATTTATACTGGTCTAGTGACCCGTTGTTTAGAGTAAATGAGGTGGCAGAAATAACGACCTGTAAAAGGTTTAAAAAAATATTGGAAAACCTTCATCTTAATGATAATTCCCAAATCCCTTCTAAATCAAATCCAGACTACGACAAACTATATAAAGTTCGCCCGTTACTGGAAATGCTGAACACAGCTTGCAAAAATGAAGCTAGAACATCCACATCACAAAGTATCGACGAGGCAATGATTAGATTCAAAGGAATTTCGTCTTTGAAGCAGTATATGCCAGCAAAACCCATAAAGAGAGGTTTTAAAGTTTGGGTTAGGGCAGATAGCTCTACTGGATACGTCTATGAATTTCAAATTTATACAGGCAAAAATGACGACAGTACACCTGAATTCGGTCTAGGATCAAATGTGGTAAAATCTTTGTCAAAAAGCCTGATAGAAGAAGAGATTACTGTTCATTTAGCATTTGATAACTTCTTTGCTTCGTATCCACTAATGCAATACCTTTATGAAAAAGGGATTTACTCCACAGCAACAGTAAATTTGAACAGAGCGGATTTACCAAAGTTTATGAAACCCATCAAAAATGATAAAAAGAAAGAAAAAG